CAACCATTAGGCCAGCTGCGAAAACGGCGGACAAATATACAGACGAAAATATTGGAGAGGCGTATCTGCCTGGTTAGAGCAGTAGTAAAAGTTGATGCGATATAGACGTGGCGCTATTATATAATACGCAGAACACAGCGCTGCTGCGACACCCTGCTTCCCTTCCAACCTATGCAGCGCATCGACAGGTCTGCCTGGCTGAAATATCAAAATAATAAATACTATAGTGACTATCATTGTTGTAACGTTCGATAGGCGTTATTCTGCTGTGCCTGCCTGCCAGTAACAATTAGCTATGTAATATACTGCTGCTTTTCGCAGCCTCCGATGCATAAACCGTCTCTGTAGGCTACAGCGGCAACATTCAGAAGGCAAAAAAACTATAATGCAGAGCTAGATCCACATTAGCAACCACGAACAGGTCCTCACCGCTCTACTGGAGAGAGCTGCTGCGAATGGAAGATTGACAAAATTATTTGGTCTACCGAGCTAGATACAGCTGTTTGACGTCTGTAAATTAAAATATTTAGAGAATAGTTTGAGGCTTCTAATGGCAATCAATGTTCAATCAATTGATGTAACCACGGGTAAAATAAAGGACTTCACTAGCAACACAACCCGAGGTTTCACTGTGGCGGAAATTCATAGTGTAGAGAAAATATTTTGCGGTCTTCACATTCCATTAGTGCTCATTCATTGGCTGCAACTCAAAGGTTAAGATAGAGAGTTTGCCGGCTTTATTTAGTCGGTTGGTTAAAGCGCGTTTATCATCTAATAAACTCGCGCGCAACAGAGCGAGCACTCTGACATGACTTTCTAGCAGAAGATGCCTAAGATATATCGTCAGTGTAAATCGACAGTTTCGTAGACCTTGCTGTTACGGTCACGGCCGCAGGCCGCTAGCCATCGATTGAACGCGCTCGATTCATTAAGAAAGGCGCACTAAGTAGCATCTCACTAGCAGGTTCGTTTATCACTCTCGCGCTCTCTCTCTCTCTTTCTTCTCTTCTTTCTTTCTTCTCTCTCTCTCTTCTCTCTATCTCTCGTTCACGCCCGCCGCCTCCTCCCCCATCCCACGCCCGTCGCCTCCTCCCCCACCCCGCGTGACATGGATGAGATCTCTATAAGGATAGTTTGCTTGTAAATTAATGGCCATCACTGGGATAGAGGCTGCGTAAAATAATTGAGAATACTTTGAGGTCATTAAAAAAGCTGTAGTCGAGCTCACATGATGGATCTCTAGATTGTATGTGGGCAAGAAAGCAAGTCACGAATTAACATGCCAAAAGATGGAGTAAGTACACAAAGAATCTAGAAACCTCCATCTATCTCAACAAGAAATATCCAGGATGTGGGAGGAGGACAAGCCGGGGCCGTTTAAGGGGGGAGCGGGCTTAGCGATTCTAAGATTTGGGGCAATTAAATAGATATAATTTCATTTGTGAAGACCAATAGTATTAGTCTTAACCTTTCGACTTCAAAGAGGCTCCAACACAGCTATGTGACACGTAGTTGACTTTACATCTCTGCGAGGTCGACTACATACCAGTGTTAGTCGTATAACTTACGCTGTATTATTTATTTTAGGCGAAGCGGCATAGAGAAGGTAATATTGAGTCCTATGATCTAGGTTGTGCACATAAATTCTAGGGCATCCCGTACATAACATTGTGCTTAACACGTTAAACCTCCCTACCGAAGGAATCGCTATGGCGTTCCAAAATTGCCATCGCACGTCGTGCGATTCAAATGTGCGACGTCGCGCACGACGTCGCACATTTCTGTTCCATAATTGCCGTCGCGTCGTGTCTTTTATTCCTTTCTCAACCACGACGTCGCCCTTGTCAAACACGACGTCGCGCATTTTTAACCACGACGTCGCGCATTTTAAACCACGACGTCGCCCTTTTTCAAACGCGAAAATTACCCGAAACGCACGACGCGCGATGACAATTTTGGAACACCATACGAGCGTGCGTGTCGCTAGTAAACATGGCTAAGCATGATTGAACATATGGTGCGGAATTCGTGCCAGCTGCAAAAGACTCGTTGCCCATGTAAATTGCAATCGACTTTATACCCGTGTGTG